ACAAAACGAGTTTGTGTTTGATAAACGAGGCTAGCTTGAAATTATTTAATACTCAGTTTACGGAGTGATTGTATATGAATTCAACTAGAAAAAACTAGTTTCTTTTTAAATTATATTTTTAGCCATTCCAACTATGATACAACAAATGGTGAAGTTTTCAGGACGAGTGGAATGAGGAGAGCAAAGTGAGACTCAACAAACTTTTCGAAGCGAAGTTCAGTCATAGAGATTCATTGAGGCAGCCCGTTGCAAGGAAGGAAAGAAGAAGAGTAGGGGAGACAAAGGCTCGATATAATTGAGTGCAAAGGCTTTGGCTCCAACATATTAATCCAAGAAAGAATCGAGCCATCGGTGAGCTCTGCCAGAGCTAGAATTCTAACCTTGTGTCAGGACCTTTTGCTTATGTTTTGGGTTCAGCTTTGGCTTCAGAGGATAGATGTAATCTAGAAGCGAAGTACAGCTGACCCGGCCCATCTTTTTTTGTTTTACGCCCCGAAACTCTTCCTCAGCCGGGCTTGGGCAGAATAAGCGAGCAAGTACAAGTATTATTAGCTAAATGAATGTGCTTGCATACTCTTCGATTCCTGCGGGAAGTGTGGGACTAATTGAATTTCATTCTTGTCTGCTAAGAGAGTAGTTGGAGTCGGCGGCTCTCCCAGGTCCCTCGTCTGAGATCCCTGAGGAAGAGGTAAATTTGAAAAAAAAGTAGTATGATTAGTTGTTAGTGGATATATTAAAATAATATTTAAATTAAAATAATTAAAGTTGATTTGATGTAAAAGTAGGACAAAATGATTGAAAGTGATAGTTAAAATTATGTGAGCGGATGAATAGTGAATTAAAGTGATGTGATGTATAATAATGATTAGTTAATATTATTTAATTATATTGATAATATTTAGGATAGTGAGGTTGAGTTAAAGTCAGGGGCGAAGCCAGCCTCAAATTTCACCGGGGTCGGCAATATTTTTTAGCGGGGTCATTAACCTAGTAAACAGTGTTTGAACAGTATTTTATACTAAAAATTTTGAAATCCATAGGGGTCAGCTGACCCCAGCCACAAGGTGTGGCTCCGCCACTGGTTAAAGTTGAGTTAAATTTAAATTTTGATTGGTTTTTCTTGAGTTGAAATCATAAACAATCACACCCTTAGTTAACGAGCTGAGTCGGCCTCGTTAAGGCTGAAAATAAAAATTTTTACTAATTTCATACAACTTGATTTGTTAATGTTCGAATTCAGCTCGCAAAGGCTTAAACCTTGCTCGTTAACTTTATTAATAAACAAGCAGAGCTTGGGCTCGTTAATTTATTGTCTCGTTTAGTTAACGAACTAAGCTCGATTGGACTCAATAAAGCCTCGAGCCCGAGATCGAGTATCAAGAGCCTCTAGCTTGGCTCGTTTACATCCTTATAACCAGACTTTCATAGATAGAACCAATTTTACTTTTTTTTTTTTAATAACAAATAAATAAAATAAGGAAATGCATGCTTATTAAATAAATAAATGCATGCTCCCACATTATTTGCATAATCTAACTTAATGAATCTTATTATTGCTGAGTTTGATTTACATGACACAAGCATAGTTTAGGTGATTTTGTTGACTAATGTTGCAAAGTTGACATAAATTAAGATTAAAAGTTAGGTAATTAATCCCTTCAAGGGACAATAAAATCTAATAGAATCTTATATAGTACACTTTTTGTGCATTTTATGTTGCAATTTGATTCATTAAATACATCTTTTAAAAAAAAGATTTAGAACAGATCAATTTATACATAGGAATGAAATAATTAGGAAATCAATTGCACGCACGCTCGGTTCCACCAATTTCGTAGTACCAATTATTTACATCAAATTATGTTGTCTTATACTAAGGTGATAATATCATAATTGCCCATTATCATAAAGTAATAAAAATAAAATTATTATTATCACCAAGTTTAATTATTATTCATGTCATGTGCTCTCCTAATTGGAGTAATTATTTTAATTTCTTGGGATCATAATTATTTTATCTTTTCCATATATATATATATATATATAAAGAAACTAAAGGAAGAAAAATAAAAAAGAGGGGTAGGTATGCAAATGCTAGTAGATTGGGTAAATATAATAAATAAATAAAAAAGCATATATAATTTTAAATTTTAATCATTTGAATGAAATGTTTTAGGGCCCTTCACTTTGGTTGGTCCTCATTTTACCCCACAAATTGCATTTTGTCTAATAAAGAACATAGTGTTGATTAA